CATGAAGAAAACAAAGATTCTTGACACTGGGCCAATTGGCAGCACCATGATGGGTGGAGAAGAGACTGAAGTTGTTAACAATTTCAGCTTGTTTGGTTCCATTATCAGTACTCTTGGCACCAGCAGTGCAGAAATTAAAAGACAAATTGCGCCCATCAGCAAATGAATGGATAGAGAAGCTGTGGTATATTCACACAATGGAATACTATGTGGCATTAAAAAACAAGGAACTCATGTAATATTATTCAAAATGGGTGACCCTGGAGGACATTATGCTGAGTGAAATATCTCAGTCACAAAAGGACAAATACTGCATGATGCCACTGTTGTAAAATGCGACTGACAGAGAGCTCTGGTGGCCAAGTGGCAGGAAGCTACACTGCAATTCCAGAGGTACAAGGTTTGAATCCACCAGATGCAGTGCTGGAAAAGGAGGGGCAAGCTCCTATACCAGTAAGATCTGATCTGATGGTACACACAGAAAAATAATAAATTTAAAAAAAAAACTCTAAAACAAAAAACTGACATTGCAATTGGGGGGAACCTAAGAAAAGAAAGGATAAATAATGTACACTGCATTGAAACAGATTAGGGAGAGAACGGTTTAAAAGGAATATATGATTAGGTATTATTTTCATGACAAGAGTCCAGAATAAGAGCTGCACAGTAAAGTGGGCTGAGTTGGGGGGGATTGTATAACAATGAAAGAAATAATAATAACAGTTGTTATTATCATCATCATTATGTGTGTATACCATCAAATCGGAAAGGACTGGTATAGGAGGAGATTGCCCCTCCTTCTCCGGCAGAGAATTTGATGGATTCAAACTGCATACCTCTGGGATTGCAGTGCAGCTTCTTACCTCTAGACCACCAGAGCTCCCTGAATGAAAGAAAAAAAATTCTTTTTCAAAGAGAAAAGTGAACGGGGAGGGAGGGGGTGGGTACAGAGGAAAATGTACAACAATGAATGAATGGAAATCCAAAGTTTCTATAAAGTTTCATTAAAATCTCAATTTAAAAAAGAATAAATTGCATTGGGAAAATCTATCAGGGACCTCTCCAGAGTGCTAAAGAGCAATGATGTCAGTCTAGAGACTAAGGTGTGTCTGATCCAGGCCATAGTATTCACGATTACTTTCTTTCCTTTTCTTAAAAAAAAATTATTTTATTATTTTGTGTGTGTACCATCAAATCGGATCTGACTGGTACAGTAGGGGATTGTCCCTACTTCTCCAGCTAAGCATCTGGTGGATTCAAACCGCATACCTCTGGGATTGCAGTGTAGCTTCTTGCTACAATTACTTTCTATGCATCGGAGAGCTGGACAGTGACCAAGGATGACAGAGGATTAATTAATACCTTTGAGTTGTGATGTTGAAGAAAAGTACTGAGCATGCCAAAAACTGCCAAGAGAACTAGCAGGTCTGTCCTGGAGAGGGTGAAATCAAGTTGCTTCTTGGAGGCAAGGGTTTTGCAGCTCCACCTCACATACTGTAGGCATGTGGCCAGGAGAGATCAGTCCTTGGATAAGGATATCATGCTTGGAAGAGTGGAGGAACAACACAGGAGAGGAAGACCCCTGATGAGATGGATTGACACAGTAACTGGGACAATGGGGGCAGGCATGTCAAGAGACAGTGAGACTGGCTCAGGACTCAGGACTATTGTATATAGTGTCATTATGAGTCACAATGATGGCACATATCAAAAGCAACAACACAGGTTTCACATGAGCACCATTTAGTATTCTGGGATTCCCATTCTTCTCAATGTTAGTTATAATTTATCATAATCCACATAGTAAAATCTTTTTGCATAGGTCATAAAACACAAATAAACATCTTTCTGGTATTCTCTGCTTTCAGCCAAGATTTGCATGACATCAGCAAAAATATTCCTCATTCCACAGCCTCTTCTGAACAAAGCATGAATTTCTGTCAGTTCTCCACTGATGAGTTCTTCCAGTCTTTTTTGAAAGACGGGAGGTGGCACAATTTAATCTATGACATTATTCTGGTTGAGAGCTGAGGGGTCAGAAATTGAGAGGAGCCTGAAGGAATCTAGTATGTGGGAATGTCCACATTTCCCCTGGAAGTGACCAAGAGTGCCCAGACTTTGGGCTAACACACACCATTACTCCAGAAAACAAAAAGAAGGGATGTTGATAGAGACTCTGAAACTTGCTTTGGAAGATAGAATAGATAAAGTGAATGGGGAAACTATGAAACAGAAAAGCTTAACAGAGTATTTTAATTTTAAAGGGTGGTTTGAGAAGATAAAAAATTACATGTAATTAGAAAACCCAAAAGGAAAGACTGACATTTCTCAGACTGAAAGAACTGAAGAAAAAAAATCCAAAGTCTTGGGTTGTCATGGTGAAGCTCTATGGGCAAAATATTGAACAGGAAGCCTCAAAGAAGACGGGAAAATACACAGAGCCACTTGTATCAAAATTAACTAGCTTCCAAGCAATCATTTTAAGGGGCTGGATCACATGCTGATGTGATCCAGAAACAACAGTACTGAAAGGAGACAGCCAAGCTGCACTGGAGGCAGAATGCAAGGTTCCAGGGACTGACAGGACATTGACTGAGATACTTAAACAGATACAACCCTGTAAGCACCAACTTGTCTAGACCAAGAAGTTTGGAAGGCAGCTACCTGGACAATGGACTAGAAGAGATGCCTATTTATGCCAATTTGAAAAAAAAGTGAGTTAACAGAATGCAGAAATCATCAAACAGTATCATTAATGGCACATGCAAGTAAAAGTTTGCCGACAAGAATTTAAAACATTACAGTACTATTCATCAGAGCACTGCCAGAGCCATAAACTGAACTTGGAAGAGGATGTGAAACAAAGGACATCAGTGCTGATGCCAGATGCTGGCTGAGAGCAGACAACATCTGCGTCTTGTTGTGAACCGCAACAAATTATGGATAATATTGAAAAGACTGGAAATTCTCTTCACTTGATCATGGTCCTGCCAGACTTGTATGCAGACCAAAGACAGCTGTGTGACTGCAACAAAGGGATAATTCATGCTTAAAAACTAGGAAAAGGGTTGTATTCTCTCACCATGCCTCTTCTGTCTGTATGTTGAACTCAGAGAAACTGGACTATATGAAGATCATGACATCAAGACTGGAGAAAGACTCGTCCACAACTGTCAGGTACAGATGACACAGCCCTGCTTGCTGAAAAAGACTCGTACTCATTCCCGCCCCCCTCATCTTGCAATGCAGCACTCAGTCTGTTAACGAACACTGCACCAGAACAGGTGAAGGGAAGAACTGTCTGCAAGGAATACGTGATCAGGCATTATATGTATGACAACAATCCGGAACAAGAGGTGCTTTGCAAAGTGGACTGGGCGGGGGGGAAACGTGCAACAAGAAATGAATGAAATCCTAACTTTTCCACAAACTTTCATTAACATCGCAGCTGTCAAGAACTCAGGAGGATATATTGCATTTGGGGAAATACGTTACAAAAGACCTCTTTGAAGTGTTAGGACCCCAAAAGTCGAGATGTCACTTTGGTGTAAGAGCTGAGGACTACGGTGTGCCTAACTTTAGCCACAATGTTTCACCTGAGTCCTATGCACACAAAAGCTGGACAGTGACTAAGACAGACCAGGGAATCGATGCCTTTGAATGATGATGGTGGTGAAGAGCATTTGCCACACCATGGATTACCAGAGATTGCACACTGCCATCTGGGAAGAGGTGCTGTCACAAGCCCCCGAGATGCGCCCTCATTAGACTCTGCCGCACACATTTTGGGCATGTGACCAGGAGAGGCCGGTTCTCAGGGAAGGACATCATGTTTGACTAAGTAGCAGGTCACCAAGAAAGAAGACAACCCTTAAGGTGGCCTGGGACAGTCGTTGCAACAGTGGGCCACAGCTGTGTGGACAGAGCAGTGTTAAAACTCAGCAGCTGTCACTATGCTGGAATAATCAAGGGGTCAAGTCTCTCCAGCCACCACCCGGGACTCCTGAGAGAGGAGCTGACATTGTGGGAAATGGAAGTTTTATCCAGCACCTGGCCCGTTTGGGGTCCCCTCGGTATCGGATTTCTGTCTTCCCTGAGTCCCACAGGAGCAGGGGCCTTCCATATCTGCTGTATGGACTGAGGAGGCAGGAGGAGCACTCCAGTCCCGGGGTAGAGCCTGGACAGGTTACATACCCAATGGACAGGTGGTGTCATACCCAATGACACCTGTGGCCACTGTGGGCTTGGGAGCAATGGGAAGAGGGGACTTGGGCTGGGCATAAGACCACTACTTTGACATGGAGCCAAGCACGGCCAGGAAGAGACCAGACCCTTACCTGCCATGGGCTTCACCTGCACCAGGTAGCCAAGGCTACTGCCTGCCACATCCCTCCACTTCATCTGCAACCGGTCCTCGGGCAGCACAGCCAGCCTCAGGCTGCTCACTGGGGACAGAGACAGGACATCAAAGATGGTTCCCTGAAGAAGGAGGAACAATCGCCTCCTGTACCAGTCAGATCCAATTTGACGGTACACACATAAAAAGAATAAATAAATTAATTTAAAAAAAAAAAGATGGTTCCCAGGCTGAGCCAACATCCTCCTCCTGAGTTGTGGGTGCCCTAGTGGCTCCAGACCTTCCTGAGGGGGTATGGAGGGTCACAGCCCTATTTGAGGGGTCTTCAGAACATAAGGCATGCCATGGGGAAGGAGGAGGCCCAGCCCAGAGGTTCATGTGTGACTCATCCAGCAGGGAGGTCATGACCAGCTCCCTAGAAGGATTACCCTGGGGGTGGTGGCACCAAATACACCAGCTGCTGCCCAGAAACTGGACAGCTGTAGACACCGCACCCCACTCCAACACTGAGGTCACACTGGGGTCAGGAAGCCTGTGTGTGGGTGTGGGTGTGTGCATGCACACACACACATTGGTGGCATGGACACATAGGTGTGCCCTTGGTGGTGGCCTCACTCCAAGGTGGGGGATGATGAGGGTGCCCCCAGAATGTGTGGTGTGGGTGCCCCACGGGTATGGAGGAGGGATCAACCCTTAGCACCCTCATGGCTGACCCCAGGGGATCTCCTGACAAGAAGCTTCAGGCTCAACCTTTCTAGAAGCTTCCAGCAATCAGGCAAGCAGTTATTTTTGGAAAACAGTTATTATGAGGCCAGAAAGGGCCTCATCTGGCTGTCCCCCAAGGCTGAGGGTCCAGGCGGCACAATGGTGGGATTTAGCGTGCTGGGGGAGGGGGCTTGGAGCTCTAGGGGCTACAAGCTGAAAGGCAGGAGTGTCCTAGGATTTCAGGGACCACAAGCCAGCTGTGAGCCTTGAAGCTCATGAAGGGCCATCTGTCCAGCAAGGCCCTGCCCAGACCATCTGGGTCCGTGGGGGTCTTGGAGCCTTGGCAAGGCAGTAGATGAATGGATGGCAGCCAGATGGCAGGAAGAGCCCCTCTAGCCACGTCCCAGACTCCACCCAGGCGCACACCCTCCTTGCTTACATTCTTCCTCCCATGTATCCTTGCCCACCTTCTCCTGGAGGCCCACAGCCCCAAACAGCATGGGGTCTGCACTGTGTGCACTGGCCGGTAGAGCCGTGCCCCTCAAATGCACTTAGGTACACAGCGGGAGCTTGGAGACTGGCCTTCATCACGTACATGAGCCACAACTCCAGGGCCCACGTGTAGCCCTTTTGGAGAGAAGGCGGCAGAGGGGCCACCCTAATGCTGCCCAGAGTGTATGGGAGTTCAACAGGTCCAAAGCAATGGACAGTTGGTGAGGTGACAGTGACCCCTGGCTGGACTCCTGCATGCCTGGACAGTCCTATGTGAACAGCGACAGGAAGAGTGGTCATCTTAGGAAAGGATTATGGTGGGAAGTCACTCCAGACGTACACATGAAAATTAACGTGGCCATGGTTCCCCGAGTGACAAGCGAGGGATCGGACTAAAGGGCTAGGTGAGGCTGGCCAGCTTTCTGTCCAAAGCAAGCTCATTCCAGGTGGGAGGACAAGACATATGGGCCTTGTAGGACCATTGTGGGGAAAACTGAGGTCACAGGAGGGTAGTGGGTGAGCAGGGAAGGCACCGACAGAAAATCTGACCACCAGCAGACCTGAGGGACATTGTCACCTCTGAGGCTGCATCTGGACATTGGTAATCTCCACAGGAAAAGGTCTTGGTGATTAATGGAATGCCAGCATGACAGGGGGACTGTGCTCTGCACATGGTGATGCTCAGTGAGACAGGAAGTCCCCTCCCACCCCATTGGTCCTGTGCTCTCACCCTTATTTCTAAGTAGCTATTAGGTTCTTAGCTGTGGGCCCTGGTCATCTGGACAGGGCAGAGTGTGCTGGAAGTTTGTCACTGTGGGGCTGCTGTAGGGGTGGTCAATACAGGGGTGAAGGTCTGGGTGGTGGGGTCCCCATGTCCTTACCTGGGCTTTGCCTGGTCGCCAGGGTGATACCCAGCCAGAGACAGAAGCAGAGGTTCATGGTGAGCTGCAGAGGAGGGCGTGTTAGCCTTCCCTCTCCAGCTGCAGCTGTGGGTGCCCAGAACCCGAGCCCTGCTCTAGGACTCATCTCCCTACAGCTGTCCTCAGACACCAGCCCCAGGGACCCCCCAGCTGCTCACAGTGTCCCCTACTGCTCCACTTCATGCACTAGACACCACTGAGGGGCCTGGGGTCCTCCCACAGAATCACACCATGAGTCTGGATCCTCGAGTTTTGAAACTATGCTAGGGCGCCCAAGACACAGCTGGGCGGTGCTCTCTGCATCTATGATGCCTCCTGGTCACGCTCCTCCGAGCCACCCATGCCCATGTACTCAGGAGGAGTGCCCCAGCTCCTGAGGAAGCCAGCCCCTCCCCTCAGGAAGGCCCCCGTCCACTGGGAAGACTCCAGGGATGGGTGAGGTGGGGGGGGTACACGTGTGGGAACAGCCTCCTCACATGCTGTCTTCATCTTCACCCAGATTGTCCATCCTTCTGACCCCCCAGAGCCTGGCCTGATGTGGTGGGACCTTTGCAGAACCAGAGGGTCCCCACCAAGAGCACGCATGCTCCGCACTGCTGTTCTTACACTCCACACTTGCTCCAGGCGCTATCTCCTGGGATTCCAATGCCCCCCACCACTCCATCTTCCTCAGTCTTAAATCTTTGTCCCCCACCATCTCATTTGCTCCATCTTCTGTTTTTATCCTCTATCCCTTGTTCCCTTCAGTCTCCCATCACCATCCACTCTAGTTCCACATATCCCCTAGCCTCCTATTCCCTGACCACTCTGGTCCCCTATACCCTACCCCCCCATCATCCCCCCTACATGGGAGCCCACCTCCTACCAGAATGGTCACAACCCTTCTGACTCACAGACCTGCTGAGCTAGGACCAGCTCCCACAGCCCGTCTCCTGGGACAGACTGTTCAGTGCAGCTCTGACCACAAGGGGACCAGCTTTATGTGAAGACACGTCACGGCTCTGGTCCACCCCTAAGCCTCCTCCCTGTCCCACCCCACAGCCTGGCCTTTCCTAAGTGCCTGGTAAGCACAGAGAAGCTGACAAGGGGAGGGTCCATTCCCAAAGGGGCCCTGAAAAGGGGCTGCACAGGACTGCCAGCCAGAAAGACCTGGACACAATGCTGAGGCGTGAGTAGCCCCCGCTGGGCCATCTTTACCCAGTCATGGCCCATCACAAAGGTCTCAGGATCCAAGGTGGGCTGGATAGGGCTCTCTCACAGCTGGGGCAGCACATGGCCGAGTGAGGGATGCTACGCCCACCTGGACCTGCTCCTCCAGTACCACCCAGGGCTGGACCATGAACTGAACCCCATCACTCGACACCCCCTGGAGGCAAATCCTGCATCCCTACGTCTACAGAACCTTGCTTGTCACCTCTGGCTACATGCTGTCCACCCACCCTGAGCACTATTCCCAGAGACCTGCACAGCTGGGGATGGAGCTGCCCAAACTAGGGTCAGAGTGGCAGCTAAAACAGGGACAGTCCCCAGATGATACACAGCTGGTTGGGACACTTTGCTGGGCTGCACTAGGGACATGAACAGTACTGTCCACCCCCAAGGCCATGCACCCAGTCATTGCGGAAGGCCACACCCAGCTGCTCTCCTGGCTGTGAACACCTGGACTAGACGGCTCCAAAGTCCATTAGCTCTGCCTCAGGACCCCCACCCCAACCCAACTCAGACCTATTTCTGAAGGCAAGTGCTTCACTGGCCCTAGATGGAGAGTGAACCTGATAAGACCAGGTCAGTCCCACACTCAGGAACCCCAGCTGGACGAGGCTGCAGAGGTAGCCATCAGAGGTGTGTGAAGTTGGGAGACCACCTTGGTACCCACTGCCTCAAGGACCCAGGGGCAAGGAGGCCTCATGACTTGCTGTAGGCTGGGGGCTGCTGCAGACTTGCCTGGATGCTGAGGTGCTCGAGGTGGACAGTGGCTCCACGCTGCCTGCAGATTGCACCATGGCCAGCAGAGGGCACACATGCCAGCTGAGAAGCTGCTTCTCCACCAGCTAGTCCTGGACAAGCATGCGTGTGCTTGTGTGCGTGTATACAGCCTAAGGGCAGATCAAGACACGTGCACATTTCTTGGCACTAGGTTCTTTGTTCTTGGTAAAAGTCTTATTTGTGAAGATTTTCCTTTTAGATAACTAAGTGGGACTATAAATGTAGGTATATGTTAATAAGAAGATTATTCTGTCTCAAATCCCTTCATTACTGATTTCTGTTCAGGTCATTTAAAGTTGCTTTCCCTTGCTGAGTGCAAAGAATTTTTCTTTTCCACTTTCCTAAATACCTAAAAAGTATGAACACTGCATTACAGTTGACTGTATTGTGTATAGTTTTTTGCTGAAAACTTTTTCTGTAAACACAATTGCCTTGTTCAGTTTTGCTGTAAACTGACTTACCCTAAGATGCACTGTTGATATGCTTCCTGATGTGTTTGATAAAGGTGATAAAATAAAGAAGAAAAATTAAAAAAAAAAAAGACACGTGCACAAAGGCAACTCTCGCTGAGCTCAACTGGGAGCCCTGAGGGTGGGAACCCCTCTTTTGCTGCACCCTCAAGCTTGCTCTTAAGAACTTGTAAGCAGGAGTATCCCTTGGCCGGGATGCCTTCAGTCTCAGGTACATTCACTGGCGCTGCACCCACTTAGAGAACATGACAAAGGGTAGGTGTGTGGACAAGGCCTGTCTGGGCTGTCCCTGTATCCTACAGGAGGGGTCAGTCTCCAGGAGGAAAATGTCCTGCACCATCCAACTGAGTCACAAGTCTGCATGTGCCCTACGATGCCCCACCCAGACTCCCTGTGCGACCTGCTCTACCCCCTGCCCAAACCCAGCCTCCCCCCTGCCCAGGGGAGCTCTGTTCAGGGGTGTCAACCCCCAGGGATGACAGCTTGGGCTGTGCACCTTCCTTACTCTCAGGTAAACTGTCCCCTCCATGGCCACACTGTGCTGGCTTCTGAAGGGCCTGAGTGGGGTAGACTGGGTCTACCCTTGCGGCCCTGAGATGCAGCCCACGTCCTCACTGCTCCTAGGGGTACAGAGGTGCACCTCACATGTGCAGTCCTTATTGTTGATGGTCTCTGTGGGCACCAGGAGTCATCTTTCAGCCTGCAGAGCAGGAAGGGCAGTTCAGTCCCCTCAGTGCTTCCCACTTCTCTGAGCCGGTCCAGCCCCTCCCCTGGACCACATACCACCCAGGAGTGCTTCCAGCCTGAGGTATTCTGGGAAGTGTCTTTCCAGATGTGGTGCATGCTGCCCTTCAGGGGCCAGCATGACCACATGAGCCAGGAAAATGGGCCTCTCCCTCACCTCCACCACCCTAGGTCCCTTGGAAATGTGCCCACATTAACTGCCAAAGTCTATCACTAAAAAAAACCAAAAAACACCACCAAACCAAACCAAATCAACTTTTCCTTGATTACAGAATGCCTCCTGTCACTAACACAAGGTTTAGACAAAAATCTGAAAAGGTCAGAATTGGATCGTACAGTTAGAACACCTAGGGTCAAAAAAGGACACATATTACATGGTTCTAGGGCAGACAAGAACTTCACGTGGACACACTGACCACTGGGAAGTCCGACATAGGACAGGCCCAGGTCAGCTGAACCATCCACATTTGAGGTCAGAGGTACAGGAAACCAGCAAGTAGAAGTTTCCCTTCCAGGCTCAGAGATGGCCTAGGAGGCGGCGAGCCCACCCCACCCACAGGCCTGACAGCATCTACAGCCACCCTGCCTCAGGTGTCCAGACCCTCCTCCTGCTTCACAATGACTTCTGGCTGCCTCCCCACAACCATTCGTCAACCTTTAAATGTAGCCACCCAGACCCCTAGCAGGCCACCGCCTAAAGCTAGGGGATCATGCCAGGTGTCCCTCCCCAACAGGGATGTCAGGCCACCTATACAAAGCATGCTTGCTTCCAGCTCAGGGGGCATGCACAAGGAGGGCAGGCCAGGCTGAGTGGCGGAACTGCCATGGCACGGGAGATTAAGGAGGGCAGACTGACAAAGAGTCTTCACCCACTGTCGCAGGCAGTGTGCTATTGAGGGGAGAGCCCCAGACTTAAGACTGTGGCCACAGCGTCTCCTGGCCAACAAGGGGGAGTGTGCAGCTCCAGAGCTGGTGGGAGCACAGAGCACATGGCAGGCTGGGGCATGTCCAATAACTCAGGGCCATGGAGTCCACCAGATGACCCCATGGGTCAGGCATGCAGTAACACCACTGTCACACGCAAGGAGACAACTCTCAGGGAGGGAAGGTTCTGGAAAAGCACTAGCACTGCCCCACAGACATATATGTGATGAAGATGCCAGTGGCAGGGACATGGCATGGGACCAAGGAGGGCAGACACAGGCCAGGCGGGGGAACTGCCTGTCAGATACAACTTGACCCTGAGAGCAGGCCCAGGATGCAAGCAAGGACAGGGGTGAAGGGATAGTAGATCAACCAGGTGAGGGCAGGCTTCCTCCCAGGCGGAGCGCCAGTAACAGCCTCCGCCAGGTTTCTCAGAGAATATCCCAGAAGGGGAGCCCCTGGGGCAGCCCCTATCCTTCACAGCCAGATCCATCTGGCAAGAATGTGCCAGTACTAGGGCTGATGGTGATGTGGCACAGACATCAAGGCTGAGGATCAGACAGTGTGTGGCCCTGTGGAGAGGCAGCCAGTAGAGGGGGCAGGAAGGCTGTATGTGGAGGGCCAGTGGTCAGGGGGCAAGAGGGGCCAGCACTCGTCCCAGTCCTGCTCCAGGTGGGAGCTGGGCCCCAACTCGGGGTGCAAAGGCCACAGCACTGCTGTCAACAGCACTACCACTTGAGGCGTGTTTATTAGTGAAGGTCATGAACAGAACTGTCTACCTGTGGAAGCTGAGACCCTGGGATGGACTCACACTCCCACCCACTCTCCCAGCCTCAACCTGGGATGGAGTGTCCTGCAGTTTACCTGCTGGTGGGGGGGGAGGTGACTGGGGCCTCACAGGACGAGGATACCAGCACGACAGGGCAGTGTGGCCCATGCATGGTGCTGTAGCAGGGGACAGTCTACCAATCCTGGTTGTCCCAGCCGTCCTCAGCAGGCGCAGGGGGTGGAGCGGCCTTGGCCGTGGCCCTGGGCCGGCCCTCCCCACCCACACCCTCAAGCCCACCCTCCCAGGCCTCCCAGCCATCGCTGTTGCTGTTCCTGTGGTTGGAGCCAGCCGAGCCCCACACATCCCAGCTGTCCGAGCTCCTGCGCTCAGTTGAGTTGTCTGCACACGTCCAACTGCTGCTGCTTGGAGACTGGCGGGTCCGCGGGGCCTCGGCACTGCCGAAGGTCTCCCAGAAGCTCTGGTCCATGGCACTGCCCTGGACGTGGTCCCCACTGCTATTCTGGTAGCCACTGCCCTCTGGAGGTCTTGGAGAGACAAGGGGACTGAATAATCACCACCAAACAGAACCCATGCCTGCCTCCTCCCCTCTCCCAGGGAGCTCTGTGATCAAAGGCTTGTCAAGTAGAAGTTGTTAGGGGGGTACTGTCCGAGAGGGTGTCTATGTGGGGTTCTCCTGTCAGGGGGCTCTCCCGTGTGGAAGCTGTCTCCCATATGGGACTCTCCTGTTGGGGGGTGTCTTCTATGTGGGGTTCTCCTGTCAGGGGGCTCTCCCGTGTGGAAGCTGTCTCCCATATGGGACTCTCCTGTTGAGGGGTGTCTTCTGTGTGGGGCTCTCCCGTGGGGACTCCTCTGTGAGGGGCTCTTGCATGGGTGTTTCCATGAGGAGCTCACCTGTCACAAGGTTCCTCTGCTTTCCCAGAGAAGAAGGTGGTCACGTCTCGCCATCCTTTACTGCCCACCCCCTGGACCTGGAAGCAGATGGGGAGGGAGGAGTTTGGCACGGTGGCCAGTGCATTGTGAGAAACTCAGCTCTAATTGGTGCTCTCCCTTCACACATCAAACAAGCTCAGGGCTCAGGTGTGGACGATGAGACTGTGGCTGCCCAATGCTCACCCCGACTACTAGGATGGACAGAAAGGCCAAGAGGAGTCAGCTTAGCCTGCTCTTTGATTCTGGGAGCACAAAGACACCTAACAAAAAGAAAATCTGCTGCCGGGACACAGGACAGAGGGTCCCACGTGGAGACACGGGCCTTCCCCGGGACACAGGGCAGCAGGCCCCACGTGGAGACACGGGCCTTCCCCGGGACACAGGGCAGCAGGCCCCACGTGGAGACACGGGCCTTCCCCGGGACACAGGGCAGAGGGTCCCACGTGGAGACACGGGCCTTCCACAACACGACCAGGACATGCAAGCACTCACCCAGGAAAACGTCATCGGGAGCAAGAAAAGGGCAAGAAGTGACAGTTAACACAGTGCAAGATCCCCCACCAAGCTGTTTCCATATTCCTCGGCTCTCGGCAGACTGCATCTAATAGGGCTTGGGCTCTGGCCAGTCGAGGCCCCAAACCCCTCTCTGCTCAAGGGAGCAGGCAGGGCAAGAGGCACCAGGAATGAACGCAGATGGCTGCATAGCCCAGATGTGGCCTGGCCACTGGAATATGGAGACTGGCTTTGTGCTGTGACTTCATACCTTGGATGCCAGCTGGGAGACCCCGCTGGACACGTCATCCAGAATCTTTCCCTCCTTTACCTACATGAGGGAGACCATGTTAGGTGAGGGTAGAAAACGAGAGGGAGATGTGTTGGGACAGAGAAAGGGGGCAGACAGTATTAAAGAACAGAAAAGACAGTTTTGAAGAGAACGCGGGAAGACAGTGCTGTGGGGAGGATAATGGAGGACAATTTCAAATAATGGGAAAAAAACCCCAAAAGCTTTAACTTAGCAGAGACCCTGTCCCAGTTTCACCTGGGCTTAGAGGAGGTGGGGCTGGAGGGCACAGGAGACAGGAGGGTGGGATCATGAAGGGCCTGGGAGTCTACGGGCAGTGGACACATGCCTGTAGGGCTGCAATCATCTGAAGCAGCCTTCATTAATTAAAGACTTCTTTGTAGCAAAAACCAAAAAGCAGAATAGTAGTAACAATGTATCACAGCGCATTATTTTAACAAACCAAGGAGAGGGATACAAACCACCACCTAACAGAGGGCAACAACTTGAGGACTCCCTGCAGTACTGAAGGTTGTCTAAGTGCATCAGCAAGCAGCAGAGCCTGGCGGCCAGTGCAGTGCCACCTCAAAGCACACATCCTACCCCTGGGCTCTGGGAGCCCTGCACTGCGATGGGGAGGGCACACCTAGAGTCAACATTCCACCCCCCTGGATGGGTAAAAGTACACACATTCCGTGGAGATGGGGCAGTGAGCCCTTAAGGGTACACTGGCACTGAAAAGCCCATTCAAGTCCACAGACGCTGCCCAGATGGTGGCTCTCCCCCACCCCCCTACCCACCCCCCTACCTTCTCCTGGGCAGGTTTGAGGACATTCTCATTCAGGCTGTGGCCGAGCTCAGAAGCCTGTAGGACAAACAGGAAGCCTTCAGCACAGACTCTAAGCAGCACTGCGGTCTGGCCTGAATGCTGGTTAACACACAGCTCAAAGCAGGGGTAAAAGCAAAGCTGGGGTCACTGTGGTCATACACATGGGTCTGACGGCAGGTGGCTCAGCCCCTCTTCTCCTGCTGCCTGGAAGATGACCAGGGGCTTCTCCTCAGGACACATACTTCCTGCACCTGAGAGTAGCATGCTGGGCAAGACTATCCCACAGGGCTAAGGTGTTCCCTCTGTCCAGCATCCTCCACTGGTGGCCACAGGCAGGGCATGGGCACAGAATCCCCTCACTACAGCTGGCAGTGAGGGGCTGGACTGAGCAGAGTCCACAACAGTGAGAGGGCTGTGGCCCTAACTTGAGCCGTGGCAGATGCAGTGGGCAGGCAGTGGCAGTGAGGTGGGGGCACGCTAGGCAGCAAGGCAAATGGTTAGCAGCACTGGGCGCCACAACTTGGACAGGGCTGCGCCAAGCACTGCGACAACCCCGGCCACCCCCGCTTCCTCATAGGAAGTGCCCTGTAGAAAGAAGCGCACGCAGACTTGAAGTGACACACTCCTCCAAGCACTCTACGCACATCCACACTGGGCCAGTACAATCCACTCAGTACCTGAGAGGTCAGTGCCTGGGCAAGGGGGCCAGCTGACCCAGCAGACGGGGAGGGGCTCGAGGGTACATGACAGGACACAAGAGGCAGGCAATGCACAGGGTTAGAGCCACGGCTGGGCAGACAGCAGACAGTGCCATGCACATGGACACACACACCAACAGACAGGCAGACAGGCACGCGGCGTTACCGGCTTGGGCTGCTGCTTGGAGCCCCAAAACTTTACCCGGACAGCAAAAGGGGCCGGGTTAGTGGGAAGAGAAAGAAGAGAACCAGGGTGGGAGGGGCAAGTGCAGCAACACAGGGAAGCACACGGGAACCACCCCCTCCCCATAGTCTGGGAGCCACCCCCCTCAGAATGACGCCTGGGGGCCCTGACAGGCCTTCCTCACACCGTAAAGTGGTGACAAGATGACCTAGCAGAGCCCAAGGCCTTGAGACAGCCAGGTGCGCCACCCCCCTACGGTCTGGGGACACAAGGACAGGATGGGCAGCTGCAGGAGACCTGAGGCTGGGTCAGGGCAGAGCACATGAGCACACAAAAGATGCGAGCTCTTCCTAGGCACTCCCTCACTTTCAAAAAGGGGCTGGCATGAGTGGTACTAGCCACTCGAGCAGGTAGAGAGAACAGCACAAGGCCGTCACTGACACTGTGCTGAGATGCTGGTCAAGCACCCAGGGCCCAGGGCCAGAGCTGTGCCCCAGAGCTGCTGTCTACAGGGTGAGGCAATCCCTGCCCCAGACCCTGCTGGCTACCCTGGGCCAACCAGCCTCGCGCAGGGACCACACAGCTATAACACAACTACAGGACTGATCTGCTCCCTGAACACGGGGACCGCAGGAACCCTAACTATATGCTCGCAACACAAAAGCTCCGTTACCTTCTGACTCGCTTGGGATCCGAACTTCGTAGCCTAAAAAGATGACAGGCAGGCCTTAGCCCACAGTTCCCCAGCTGCCCTCTCAGGACCAATCCACACCCAGCTCCCAAACGCCAGTAGGGCCTCAAGGGGGGCGTAAACTCTGTCTTTGTGGACTCTAGCCTGGCCCAGTCCCCGTCTGACTGCTGGCACTCTTCTGAGCTGCCCATTGCTAGGGGATCTTCGGGTGAGGGTACTTCAGTGGGCGGGGGCTCCAGACAGGCCAGCTCAGAACTGACCGGTTAACATGTACCAGACGCCAATGCCAACTATCAGGGAGAGAGTAAGGGGTCTGACTGTGGGCATTCTGGCCGGACAGGCCCTGCCCTCCTGTCATCAGCTTCCACCCTGGACATTAAGGAAAAGGGCCCAGGAGATCTGGACCACAGAGCACCCCAAAGTGTCCTGATTCCCTTCTTCAGGACAGCAGGGGCTGGGTGCTGGCTAGTGGTTTGACCAGGCTGCCTAATGGCCTTGGGCTTTGCCCTGGGGCCCCTCATCAGAGCCTCCCAGGACCCTGCCCATGCCCTCAGTGGGGGTGGGTCACTCACGCCTTCCTTGGCTGCAGAGGCGAACCTGCTCGCTCCAGTCGTAAAGCTGCTCCAGCCCTGGGGAAAGGAAGCAGAGGTTAGACCCCACCTCAGCATCCCATCCCTATGTAGGTCCCCCAGACGTGGACTCACTGAGTACAGGGAGGACATGGCGGTGTTGAGAAAATCGTCATCCTTCTTTGGCGGGGGCACAGTGTTGCCGAAGCCCACATAGCGGTTCTCCTGGACTCTGAGGGCAGAGTACATGTGGCAACTGCTGACACAGCTCTCAAGGGCACAGGGCAGATGGCCAAGACCCTGGTAGGGCAGGCCCCACCCAAGCCACACAGCAGTGCCCCACAAAGGACGCTGTGCTGCCCACAGGAAACAGCCCCTGCCCTCCAGAAAACAACTGCCCTTCAACCACCCCACCCTACCTCCACCCGAGCGTCCCCAGCAGATCTCAAGCACCCTATTGCGTGACTTCGTGGACAGGAAACCTCACCTCCACACAGCCCCTCCCCACATATGCGCTGGAGTGCGCTTTCTGCAACCAGAGTCCAGAGGCCCCTCCCAGCCCACAGCAGCTGCCCTCTGACCAAGTCCCAGGGCCTCACCCCTGGTAGGACCCCAAGTCATCGTTCAGCCAGTCCTCAAAAGCCTTGTCCGAGGAGGCGGTCCCAGCCTGGGGTTGGCCAGCAGCTCTGAAATTAAGTCAGAGATTAGTGTGATCAATGTGGCCAGCAAGAGGCAAGCTGCCAGGTCCTTCCAAAGATCCCCCATGTCCTGCTGGGCCTCCCAAGAAACCAGCCCCAAGCCAACCTCCACACGTGCCCAGCACACGATCAGGGAACAGGCTGAGCTGGCCGCCCAGCACACATGAGGCAGCAGAACAGGCATTTCCAGTGACGGACCCCTGACACCAGATACCAGTGGCCTTGAGAATGTAGGCCCACAGCCTGGTGGAGCAGCCAGGAGCAAAGCAGAGGCGTGGGAGGCCCAATTCCATTCCACCTTCCCTGTTGGCCCGGCAGAGGGCACTGGCCCGGCAGAGGGCGTCCCCAAAGCTGCTACACGATGCCCACCTATCAATGGGGGAGCGGCCAAAAGTACTCCTCACTCCAGAAAACACACCATGCTGCGTGGGCACACTGTGATGTGGGGCACAGGGCCCTGGAAGGCACTGCTCTGAGAGGGACTACTTCCGAGTCACAAGCTACCTTGTTACAGAAACATCACCTCACTTTCATCTTTACTAGGGGACCGTCATTCTAAAGGATCCCTGGCGGTAAAGTGCAGAGACCAGACACCCAGCAAAGGGCTGCTGTGTCAGAACCGTGGACACAGCAGGCTGTTGTCTGTTGTCTGACAGTATTAAAGTTCTGTTCCGGGACCTCTGGTGGCCTAGTGGCAAGAAGCTGCAACTACAATCCCAGAGGTGCACGGTTCAAATCCACCAGATGCTCTGCCGGGGAAGGAGGGGCAATCTCCTCCTGTACCAGTCAGATCTGATTTGACGGTACACGCACACAAAAACAAAAAAAAAAAAGTTCTGTTCCCACCTCCTCACAGACAAACCAACACTCTACCTCCACGGCCACAACGGCCCCAACCACAACATGAGAGCTACCTGTGGGTGGTGGGCAGCGGTGTCTTGGGCTGCGGTGGGGTCCAGGTCTGGGCAGGTGATGACTCCAGGGACCATTCCTTGCCTTCAGCCAGAGTAGCCACCTGAGGGCACAGGAGGGGTCAGGGCAGGGAATTCTAACCTACCAGGCCCAGAATGCATTACCCAGGTCCCTACAACCTCCTGAGTCAAGTGCAAGGTCAAGCCCTATGCCCACATGGATAAGAACAACCTCCAGGTCCAAAACCCTCTGACCCCTGAACATCAGGCTTCTGCACGTGTTCTGCCTGGTCAGTCAGGGACACCATGTTCTCAGTAACTGGGGCAAAGCCTCCCCTACCCGTGTGAACCGTGAGCCACCTGCTTCACTGCATAGGGAAGTGCACTCTATGGGAGATGAGGTCGAGAACACACAAGTCCGTTTCCTGGTGGGTACCCAGGCAGTGTGAGCCCCACCTCACCTTGTCCCTGAAGAGGGCTGAAGCCTTGCTATTGTACTTCTCCTGTAGGGACCAGCAAGGGTCATAGTCCTCCTGGGATTCCAGGAACTCCCGGAACTTAGCATTCCCTCCAGCCTTCATCTTCTCCAGCTCAATGTCCTTCCACTTGTCCATGGTCACAGAGCGGACAAAGCTAGAGGCCAAGGCATTGACAGAATGAACAGAGATCAGAGCCCGGGGTGGGGTGCGGGGGTGGAGACAGTGGTCTGGTGGTGACCTAGCCCTGAGCTGACACATGGAGCTGGTCATGGGCAGCAGGTCCCACGTGGCAGGGAGAGGGGCCTGTTCCACTCAGTGAGCCTGGGCTCCAGGTGGGCATCGAGGTGAGCGAGGTCCTGCCCAACTGACCTGAGGTGCACACCCAGGCCACGGTGCTTTCCAGAACACTCCAGACAGATCCAGATTCCGTAGGTCACACTCACCCACTGCGGGTTGAAGGCACCACACTCAAAGCAGACCTGTGAGAGGACCCTCAGATTAGCGGGCACCCAGACAGAGCAGGAGGGCCAGCTGCTCTGGAAGGGACCCATAGGCAGGATAGAGGAGGGCAAGGCAGGGCTCAGGATCTCACAAAGCCCACATGAACCATGAAAGATGAAGTGAGCCAGTGAGGGGCAGGGAGGAAAGGTCAAAGGGGAGTGCAGGCAGGAGGGCACTATCCCACCATGAGGGTGGTAGAGGGGGATGGGGCTTCATGCAGCAAAACATTCACAAGAACGCACAAGTGAAGAGTGGAAGCTTCCACGAACACCCAAGACCAGAGCAGCTTTGCTGACCCACCCATAACCATCATCACCGGCAATGACCACCAGCCTTCCCAGGTGAGCTGACACCACAGTCACATTTGCCCCACATCCCAGCTCACACCGCCATCACACCCTCTCCCAGCTCCCACCCATCACACTCTTCCCCCAGTTCACACCCAGGCACACCCTCTCCCAGCACCTAATTACTCCCTCCCACAGTTCAGACCCAGTCACATTCTTCCTCCAGCTCAGTCACTTCTCCCCCTTCCACGCACTGTCACTCTCCCCTAGCTCACACACCCCCAGTTCACACTCAGTTATATCCTCCTCCCAGCTCACACCCAGTCACACCCTCCCCCAGTTCACATCCACTCACTTTCCCCTCAGCTCACACTATCACATCCTTTCCCCAACTCACACCTAGTCACATTCTCCCCAGTTCATTCTCAGTCACACCCTTCCTCCCAGATCACATCCACTCACATCCTCCCTCCAGTTCACACCTACAATCACACCCTCTCCCCACCTCACACCTACAGACACAGTCTCCCCCTAATTCATACCCATAGCCATACTGTCCCCCAGGTCACACTCACTCACAGCTCATATGTAGTCCCATCCTCCCTCAATTCACACCCAGACACACCCTCCCTCAGCTCACACCCAGTCCTATCCTCCCCCCAATTCACACCCAGACACACCCTCCCTCAGTCATACCCACTCACAGCCTCTCCCCAGCGCACATCCAGAGACACCCTCCCAGCTCAGACCCAGTCATTCCCCCCCAAATCACATACAGTCACACTCCCCTGGCTCACACCCACAGTCACACCCTCCCCCAAGCTCACACTCATAGACACACTACCCCCAGCTCACACCCAGTAACATCCTCCCCCCAGCTCACACCTAGTCACACCCTCCATCCAGCTCACATATACTCTCCCTCCAGCTCACACCTACAGTCACACCCTCCCCCAGTTCACACTCAGTCACACCCTCCCCAGCTCACACCTACAGTCACACCCTCCCCCAGTTCACTCAGTCACACCCTCCCCAGCTCACACCTACGGTCACATCCTCCCTCCAGCTCACACCCAGTCACACCCTCCCTCCAGCTCACACCCAGTCACACCCTCCCCAGCTCACACCTACAGTCACATCCTCCCCAGTTCACACTCAGTCACACCCTCCCCCAGTTCACACTCAGTCACACCCTCCCCAGCTCACACCTACAGTCACACCTTCCCCAGCTCACACCCACAGACACACCCTCCCCCCAGTTCACACTGAGTCACACCCTCCCCAGCTCACACTCAGTCACACCCTCCCTCCAGCTCACACCCAGTCACACCCTCCCCCAGCTCACACCCACAGTCACACCCTCCCCAGCTCACACCCACAAACACACCCTCGTCCCAGTTCGCTCCTACAGTCACACTCCACCCACTGCCACTGCAGATAATTCCAGCAAGCCAAGTCCTTACATTATTTCCATCCTGCACCCTGATTTCCTTCAGCACCTTCCTTGTCCTTGGGCTGGCCATGGTGCTGCAAGGAGACAAAGACTTCACTTTACAGACATACGGATGGGTCGCCCATAGGTGGACAAGCACACATCAGTGTGGAGGTATAAGCGGGAGCTCAGGAGCCCCCTCCTCCTCTCCTGCCATCACTGCCCACTCACAGAAGGACCATCAGGAGTAAAGTGGGATCTTCATGCTGCATGGTTTCCTCATTTGCACCAAGATGCACAACTGACAGTCTCAGTGTTTCTCATCAAGTTCCCAGTCTTCATTAAAGTTACAAGCTGGCAGGCTGCTTGGTGTGACACCCTACCCTCCAGGGCTCCAGGATCTGGCCTGGGCCTCCCAGAGCACCAGTGCCCACCCTTGACTCCATCCAAGTCAGCACACAGAGCTCTCAGCCGCTCGTTGTATCCACTAAGCTAGAAGCTCACAGACTGGGTGGGCGACATGCGGCTGGGAATGACTCGGTGAAGAGCTAACAGGACTCCCACACGTGAGCAATTTCTGGTGTCTGCAAGCCCTTTCCTTTTCTGAAATGCTAATTCAGCGATATGGAAGTGATCACCTTCAAACATGTTAGCGTAGTTTATTTTAGAAAAACACCCAAGAACTTATTTCAACACTTGAAAATTATAAAGATGTTCTTTCTGAAGGTAGAAAGGGCATATACACAGGCTGAATGCAGGGAGGGCTTGTTCAGCTACAGACCTTTGATCCTTGACTTGGACATTTAGTCCCTGGAGCTGTGACAGAGGCCACAAGGAGATACGCAGGCACACCTTGCTCAAGTGTGCTCTCACGTCTTGCACTTCACACAATCAAAGGTCTGAGACCACCCTGCGCAGATCCAGCAGCTCCTGCTCCTTTCCAGTCAGGACCATATGATCGTCGCCCTCGTGTTATTTAGACCTTCTTCATCATGCCACTGCCCAAAGGCCGGAGTCTGAATCCAGCAGCTGCTGGGCAATCTCCTTCCATGTGACTGACAGACTCTGAAAACCCACTGGAGGGTCAGTTAGGAGTTAGATCCAACTCCACAGAACATTGACAACAGTGCACACTTAAGAAGCTCTGGTGGCATGTTTAGTGTGCTACATATTATTCTAACTGAATGGTCAGAAGTTTAAATTCACCAAGGGGAGCAAGACAGAAGTCTCAACAGCAGCAGGGCTTTTGTTTTGTTTTTTTCAAATGTACATTTACTAGAATACCAGAACCGATTCAGCCCACTGCACTCCAGTGGCTTCTGACTCCTAGCAACTCTCCACTGGGCTTCCAATGTCTAACACTGTAAATCTTAATGGGAGGACATGGCCCATTTTTACTCCTTGGAGCATGTGGTGGTTTGAACTGCCAACCTTTAGATTAGCAGTCCAACAGCTAATGCCCTAAGCTACCAGGGCTCCTTTAACTGACTACAGCAAAGTGCAAATATCATTTTTATTTGCACTGGGAAACAAAAAGTCATGTAGGCGAGCTCTGGTGGCCTAGTGGCAAGAAGCTGCACTGCAATCCCACAGGTGTGTGGTTCAAATCCACCAGATGCTCTACTGAAAAAAGCGGGACAATCTCTTCCTGTACCAGTCAGATCTGATTTGATGGTACACACACAAATAAAAAAAAAATTTAAAAAAAGAAAAGCCATGTAACTCACTTTATAGTGACCCTGGATTGAGGGCAGTAGCTGAACAGAAGCCACAACTACCGGAGGTGCACCTGCAGGGGGCCATGACAGCAAGCACTCCCAGCACTGCCTGGCTTTTCTGCCACTTTTCCAACGTTTTATCACTCACTTGAGTGGAAAGTATGCTTGCTTCCCTTCTCTGACAGTTTTCTGCCTTACAGGGGTTCTGGCTTTCTTCGGCCTGACTGCACCGGCCACCTTTCTCAGAAACTGAACAAAGGGTGTCTGGACAAACAGGAGCAGCGCTGTCCCAGATCACCACACTGTTAAGTGTCCAGTCCTGTTCCTGGTACCTGGATGGGCAGAGAACTGCCTCGTGGACCTGTCAAGGCTGGGCCTTTCGGAGGCTGACCGACAGGCGCCTCTAGATGAGTTTGAACCCCCAACCTTTCAGTTCATCCATTTACCTAATCATTGGCATCACGCGGGGACCCCAGGACTATTGGAAATGCAGTTACTTCTGGCGGAGGTTTGAGCTACTTTTTCAAGGCAGACTAGAAGCCGGGAGACCCACAGGGTGGAAAACGCCCCCGCCCACCCTGCGCCCCCGAGGTTCACCCGGAGCGCGAGGACCCCCTCGCCGCGCACCGAGCCTCTCCAGCGGGCGCAGGCGGAACCTGAGTAACCTCGTGTCCAGCCTGGGGTTCAGCGCACGGGAAGGCGTGCGAGTGGGCTGGGGTCCCGAAAAGGTGCAGACCCCAGGCCTTGCAGGGCCCGGGGCGCGCGGAGCGCTGGGTGGGAGTGCGGGGGAGGGTGCGGCTCGAAGGTAGGGTGCCCACAGGTGAATGTGGGGGTGCTGGGTTAGGGGGCTCGGCCGTGTGGGCTTACCGGGGGGCCAGGGCCGGCGCCGAGCCAGGCAGGCACAGCTGGGTCGGTCGGGCCGGATCGGTCGGGCCGGGTCGGTCGGGCCGGGCAGTCGGGTAGGGTCGGGCGGTCGGGCCGGGTCGGGTCGGTCGGGGAGGGAGGCTGAGCTGCACCGAGCCTGCGCGCTCCCACCGACCCGGCCGCCACCCGCTTCCGGCTACGTTGCACTGCGCGAGGGCTCATGGGAAACGGGGCAGCGGGGGCGGAACTTCCTGCTGTCGCCATGGCAACGCGCGCGTGGGCGGGCACCCGCGGTGCGGCAGCGTCCAGGCTACCGTGGGAGGTGCAGACCGTCCCCGGACCGGCCAGCGCTGACGCAGGGGTCTGCCTCTTGCATCACTGCTTCCCTGCCTCAGGCGGCGGTGAAAACCAGATCCCGAGACGACGGGACACAACATGCCTGGTGCCCCGCCTGCAGATGCATCCCGTGCATCAGTCGGGAGTTGAACGACAACTGCTGCTTCACTCAGGAATAATGGTGCAACGTGTTGAGCTACTAGCAGGAAAGTCATTCCGGGGGAGAAACACGACGCAGTCTCCTAAACTTGACATCCAGATTTGTTGTTACGAGCCATCGAATTGACCAGGACATATGCCCCTGTAAACAACAGGTCTGAACCTTGTCCTATCCTGCAGCGTCTTCAAGATCCCGCACATGCTGGAGCCCATTGTTAGAGTCACTGTCAGTCCCATCTCATAGCAGGTCTTCCTCTCTTTCTTTGACCCTCCGCCTTTCTCAGCCTCTCCTAACAATATACTCAAACTATGTGAGACGAAACTCCATCCTTCTTGCCTCCAACGAGCACCTTGGCTGCCTGTCATCCAAGACATATAGTTTCTCCTTTTGGTAATCCATGGGATATTCAGTACTACTCTTCTCCAACATCACAACTCCAAGACATCAATAATTCTTCTGTCATCCTTAGTCACTGTGCAACTTTCAGACAGACAGCAAGGAACTGAAACCAACGTGGTTGGATCAAGCACACCTTCCTCTTTAAGCCAACAAGGTTGCTCTTCAGCACTTTGGAGAGGTCTCTTATAACAGACTTTCCCAATGCAATATATCGTTTGATTTCCTGACTGCTACCAAGGGTACTGATTATGGATCCAAGTAAGATTAAATAGTTGACAATTTCTATTAATGTTTCTTTTTTTTAACTATTAATGTTTCTTATTGACCTAATGGTGAGGATTTTTTTCCCCTCGATGTTGAGTCTAATTTGTATTGAAGGCTGCAGTCTATGATATGCAGCACGAGTTTAGAGTGCCCCTCACTTTCAGCAAACAAGGTTGTGTCAGCTGCAGAGGGGAAGTTGTTAATGATTCTTCCTCTGATCTTGATGCTACTACATCCGTCTTAAGTCCAGCTTCTCAAATGATTCGCTCAGAGTACAAATTGAATAGGTATGGAGAAAGGATACAGCCCTCACGCACACTTTTCCTGATTTTAAACCATGCAGTGTTCCATTGTTCTGTTCGAATAACAGCTTCTTGGTCTAGGTTCAGGTTTCAGCCTCACAAACCCTCAAAAAGTAGAGGGTCATGAGGAAGGGACTGAACTGGATGGCACTGAGTAACCAGTATTTACAAAGAAACTCATTACCAAGATGTGTGTGGGGTTTCCAGAAACCTGGAGGAATTGAGAACAGAGGATGGGGAGAGTTATGAGAAGCCAGCAGCAGAGACCTTCAGCAGCTGGGGCAAAGGAGCTGTGGGTTGGAAAACAGCCACGCCAAGGAATTCCAGGGCTGCTCTCTCTTCCTGCTCTCATTTTCTGCTGGTGTTCCCGTGGCCGAACTAAACAGGACGCAAGAAGCCCATTGGTGTGGAGAAAGTGGGTGTGGATGTGAACACACAGCTGGACGAGCTCTGGCAAGAACATCAAATGATGACTGGTTTTTCAAGCAAGCTACAAAACTGAATAGTTGTTGTTGTTGTTAGGTGCTGTATAACTAATAGATTTGAAGCTGCTCTATCCTGTGCCATTCTTACACTTCCCATTGCAGCAGTCGCCATGTCAGTCCACCTGGCTTAGGGACTTCCTCTTCTTCGCTAACCCTCTACCCTTCCCAGTACCGTGTCCTTCTCCAAGGAATAGCTCCTCCTAGCAACATGCCCAAAGTATGTGAGGCTAGGCTTCATTATTCTTGCCTCCAAAGAGCAGTCTGGCTGCACCCTCTCCAAGACATACCTGTTCTCTTGGCCATCATGAAATGTTCAGTGCTCTTCCCCAACTCCACAGCTCAAAGGCGTCAATTCTTCTTCTATCCTCTCTATTCATTGCCCAGCTCTCAGATGCATAGTAAGTAATCAGAAAGACTATGGCCTGAAACAGAAACACCTTAGTCCTCAAACTAACATCATTACTCTTCAATAATTTGGAGAGGTCCCTAACTGCATCCTTGATTCAGGAAGTATTAAAAGAAGATGGAAAGAATATACTGAGGCACTGTATTGAAAGAAATTG